TCAGTTTGAAGGACCTGTATTCACATACAGTAGTCTATGTTTGAAGAGTTACAGATGGAATATCAGAGACATTTTGATATTAATCAAAAATACATTTAGGCCTGTTTTATCTTTGCTCCAACGACAGACAGAGATATTGCGTTTTCAGTCCGTCTGTTCTTGTGAACACAATATCTCAAGATGGCCTCAAGGGAATTTCTTCAAATTGGACTCAAGGATGAACTGATTAGATTTTGGTTGTCGAGGGTCAAAGGTCAGTGTCACTGTGACCTTCCATCCATCTCATTCATGTGAATGCAATATCTCCAGAGCCAGTCACCAGGGATCAGCACGCCCGGGGCCCGTCCCTGCCTGCCACCCGGCACACAGTGCACCCAATCCTGATTCCTGTCTCTGCAGGTGGTGACAGCTCCAACAGTATCACAAGAACAACTTTCTTCTTTATTTGGATCCTCATTAGCTCCCACATAGTGGTCGAGACAATAACTGATAAATATCAGTCCAAATTTAAGACAAAAAATGAGCAAAATTGTCACAAACTCACTGAACCAAATAAAATTTACAAAAATAACTGAAGGAATTTCTTCAGATTTGACACAAACGTCCACTTGGATTCAACAATGAACAGATCACAATACTGTGGTAATTTCTGAGGAGAAAGTGAAGGTGGATTGGACACACCGTCAGAAAACCTGCCACAGACATCACCTGACAAACCCTGTGATGGAGCCCACAGGTCCATGTCATTGGTCCGACATCCCGTTGTTCCGATATGTGTTTGCCACTTTCTTTTTCATTTTAACTCACACTATGATCTTTTCCTGACCCTAACCAAGTGGTTTTTGTGCCTAAACCTAACCAAACCTTAACCACAGGGCATCAAGTTGATTTCGGAACAACGGGACTTCGGAACAACGGGATGTTGTCGGACCAATGGGTTGTCGGAATAATGGGCTGTTGGACCAATGGGCAGTTCCCGGAGCCCACAAGGAACCAAGAAAAGAGAGAAGAGCCCCAAGAACAGCTGGAGAAGAGATGTCCAGACAGAAATGTGTCTGAGTGAGCTCAGCTGGGGAGATCTGGAGCGAACCGCCAACAAGCGAGTGAATGGAGGACATTCGTCAATGACTTGTGCTCCCTGGAAGAGCAAAGGGCTTCAGTCAAGTCACCTTCAGGAACTTCTTCAAAGTTTTGGCCATAACTGAAGAATTCATTCACTAATTCTGACCAAACTTGACACAAATGTCTAACAAGCTCAGATAATGAAGGTCAAAAGGTCAAAGGTCAGCTTGACTGTGACATCATCTTGTTTTAACGCCATATCTCAGGAACAGAAGGGGAGACATTTGGTCAGATACTGAATTAACATCATTAACATTAGAATTAACATTGGAAATGATCATTTCAGCAACAGTGTCTTCATCACCAGAGATGGTTGCACTGCCGAAATGGCACCGGAGTAACAAGACACGGAAGTAACTCGCGATACGGAACAAGATTTCAAAATAAGAGTCTCTAAATGAAAGGTATGACTTCAAAATAAGAGCCTCTGAACGAAAATGTTTAAAGCGTGAATAATTCGCAACAACGAAGGAGTTAAAAACCGAAATATAACGCGCACACAAAACGCGAATGTCCCTCTCAAGAGCCAGTGTTTGGTTTGTCCGCTCTGGGCTACTGTAGAAACATGGCGGTGCAACATGTTGATCTCTGTGGAAGAGGACTCCTCCCTGTGTAGATATACACGGCTCATTCTGAGGTAACAAAAACACAACGATTCTTATTTCAAGTGATTATAAACTAAACAAAAAACAGACTGATTATATTATATTTAATTTCTGCGGATATATCCCAGTAAATCTTTCACACTGGAGCTTGTGTTTTGGGACTTTACATCTCAGTGAGAATTTAAATTCTTCTGTTAATCTGACAGTCAGTAGTTACTTTATATAATCGACCTTTAGATGTAAAACATGTGTTAAGTTTATAAGATATGAACCAACTCATTCATATAAAGAGCACTCTGACAGCTCTGACAGCTAGCGACATGAATCTAAGACAAATAAATCACTGTGACTGTTTTCTGTGGATTCACATTAAATCTTGTAATCAGGAAGTTTAAACATGTAGCTCGTCACTTTATCAGACATCAGTGACATGATTATGACATGAAGTGACAGCAGGTCCACAATTTATAACTTCACTCTCCTATAAAGGTGAACATCAGTGGATTAAAGCTAAATTAAGACTTTATTAATCCACACTGCAGAAATTCAAATGTTGCAGCAGCTCAAGAGTCAGAGGAAAAAGATTCAACTCCAAACCTTTATTTAAGACTCAGGAAATCAGTTGAAGGAGACCCTTATTTATTTATTTATTTTTTAATCAATAAGCAAACAAAGAATCATCATGCATATTGATTAATACAGAAATGGAACCAAACAAAACAACAAAAAATATTAGCTATAAATGATTGCTAAAGGTAGAAATAAGGGTGATGAAAAGATTTCAAAAAAGAATATTTAAAATAATTTAAAATGGAGTTTAAAAATAATTTTGTAGTCATTAAAAAAAGGAATATTTCTAGCTTTGAATTACAAGTAAAATTACTGCATTTAAAAGGTAAAATTACAGTTTTAGTTGAAAATATTCCCAAAGTATCAAAGTAAAGCTCCTCGCTCTGCGGTAAAATGTCTCCTGTGTGACTGATGTATTATTATATATGATATTATTATATTATTGGAAGACTGAAGTAGCAGTGTACGAGCAGCGTGTTTCTGCTGTAGCAGCTCCAGGTGGAGACAGCTTTAACTATGTTATATACAGTTGGATAGTTTAGTCCAGTGGTTTCCACCTGAGGGGTCAGAAGAAGAAGAAACTTAATTCTGATACACAACTCTGTTTTCAGTAGGGGTGGGGGATATGGCCCTGAAATAATATCACGATATTTCGTTGTATATTTGCGATAACGATATTCTTGACGATATGACAAACTAGTAAAAAATATTTTATTATTGATTTAAGAACATTGAATTGCAACAAAATAAGTGATCTAGTTTTGCTCCTCTTTTTGGAACCACCAGTCAATAATAATTTCACTTTCAGCCATGCCTGTTGTTGCCGTGGGTAACAGTATGACGTCAATATGTTAACAAGTTAAAGTACTGCAAGTATCAGGATATGCATTTTTCATATCATATTAAAAATTATACCAGCATTATCATGAACAAGATGATATGTAGTTTTCAGGGTTTTTTTTTTTAGGTTTTTCTCTAATCTTTGATTTTTTTTAAAAAATATTGCATAATTTGATCTTTGTGGACTAAAAACAGTTATTAAAATGAAACCATGTTGACTGAATATGTATTTCTATTTCTTTGTAACTTTGAGTATTTTTACACTGTAGTGTTGTTACTTTGGCTAAAGTTAAAGATCTCAGTACTTCTTTCAACACTGCTAATCTTCTGCTTAAGAAAAAAGTAGCAAATCAACAGTGTAGAAACACCAATAAAAGTCCTGCATTCACGTTTTTATTAAAGTTAAAGTACAAAGGTATTGCTGTGATCAACACATTTTATTTTAATCCATAATTATTAATCAGATCAGTCTGAATCTGTGGCTGAAACATCATCATGCTGTGTGTTGATGGATCCATGGCTCTGTCCGTGGTGCTGAAGTAACAGACTGACTTGTACTTTGAGTCTCTCTCCTCTGTCAGTTTGATCCTGGATCTCTATAATTTACACTATAAATACTGAACTCTGTGCTATATTGCAGCCTATATACTCTACAGATTAGTGTCACCTTCACAATCAGAGTGATAGAATAATAACGTGGTGTCACAGAAGAGGAAGGACATAATAGACACACTGCTGTCTGTGGTATTACCTTAATATTTCAGTGATCATTCAGAAGCATCTGTGCTTATCATAAAAATATGATAAATACATTATAAAATTAAAGTTTGCTTTCCTTAAAATATTTTATCTATTTTAGTGAATAAATATTTTACATTTTTGGAATTTTTTTTTTGCAAATCAAGCACCGTCATATATAAAGGAAACAAAGCGGGAAAAAAGACAAATTAAAATCAATTAACAATCTAAATAAGAAACAATCTAAAACAAAAAATAAAATAAATATTGTATATA